TGGCAAGTGTGCGGAGCAACAAACTCTCATTCATTGCTGGGGAATGTAAAATGGTTCGGCCACTTTGGAAGACAGTTTGACAGTTTCTTACCAAGCTAAACATACTCTTACCATATGATCCAGCAATCACACTTCTTGGTATTTGCCCAAAGGAGCTGAAAAGTTATTTCTTCACAAAAACCTGCACACAAATGTTTACAGCACTTTTATTCATAATTGTCAAAACCTGGCAGCAACCAAGATGTCATCCCTCAGTAGGTGAATGGATATATAAACTGTGGTACCTCCGGACAATGGAGTATTATTCAGTGCTGAAAAGAAAGGAGCTATCAAACCATGAAAAGACATGGAAGAAACTTAAAGATCATATTACTGAACTTCCCTGGTGGCACAATGGTTAAGAATCCATCTGCCAATGCAGGGGACACGAGTTCAAGCCATGGTCCGGGAGGATCCCACATGCCACGGAGCAACTGGGCCCGTGTGCCAGAACTACTGAGTCTGTGCTCTGGAGCCCACAAGCCACAATTGCTGAGCCCACCATGCCACAACTGCTGAAGCCTGTGTGTCTAGAGCCTGTGCTCTGAAGCGGGAGAAGCCGCCGCAATGAGAAGCCCGTGCACCGCAACGAAGAGTAGCCCCCGCTCACCGCAACTAGAGAAAACCCGGGTGCAGCAACGAAGATCCAACGCAGCCAAATATAAATAAATAAATAAATTTTTTTTAAAAAAAATCATATTACTAACTGAAAGAAGCCAACCTGAAAAGGCTGTATACTATAGCATCACAACTACATGACATTCTAGAAAAGGCAAAACTATGGAGACAGTAAAACGATCAGTGGTTGCCAGGGATTGGTGTGAGGGGAACGGATGCAGAGGAGAACAGAAGACATTTGGGGCAATGGAAATACTCTGTATGAAACTATTACAATGGAGTCAAGTCATTAGAAACTTGCCCAACCCCACAGAATGTACAACACCAAAAGTGACAATGTAAACCATGGACTTTGGGTGTTTACGATGTGTCAATGCAGGTTCATCAACTGTAACAAATGTACCACTCTGGTGGGGTATGTTGATAACTGGGGAGGCTATGCATGAGTGGGAGCAAGGAGTATATGGGAAATATCTGTACCCTCTCTCAAATTTGCTGTGAACCTAAAGATGTTCTAAAAAATTAAGGTTTTTTTTTAAATTTATTTATTTTATTTAATTTTTGGCTGTACTGGGTCTTTGTTGCTGCACGCGGACTTTTCTCTAGTTGTGGCAGCAGGGGCTACTTATTCATTGCGATGCACAGGCTTCTCATTGTGAAGCATGCGTTCTAGGCACGTGGCCTTCAACATTTGTGGCACGCAGCCTCAGTAGTTGTGGCATGTGGGCTCTAGAGTGCAGGCTCTAGAGCGCAGGCTCAGCGGCTGTGGCACATGGGCGCAGTTGCTCTGCGGCATGTGGGATCTTCCCAGACCAGGGCTCGAACCCGTGTCCCCTGCATTGGCAGGCGGATTCCTAACCACTGCGCCACCAAGGAAGCCCCATGTATTTTTTAAAAGTGGATTATGAATTATATATAATAGAATATAAGAATAGAACAGCAGTTCTCAAAGTTTAGTGTACAAACCCCTGGGGGTCCCTAAGATACTTTCAGGGTGTTCATAAGGACAAAACTATTTTTATAATATCAAAACAATATATGCCTTTTTAATTTTTCACTAAATATTTTAAGGCGGGGGGTGGTGCTGACATTTGCACTGATAGCACAAAGCCGTGATAAATAAAACTGAAGGCACCTTCACATGAATTAAGCCTGTAAGCACCAAACCTTACTAGTGCTCATCGTATTTACTCTCCATTGCTATTTACTCACAGTTTAAAAATAAACAAATAAAACCAGCAACAACAAAACTGTTTCACTTAAGAAATTCCTTAATGTAACCATAAAGAATTATTTTTACTAAATTTCAACCCTCAAGTATTCTTGCTTTTAATATTCTGTGTGAGGAAATAGGAAGAACATATAAAGCATTTCTGTAGCATACAGAAGTACAGGGAAGTATGAGGAAATCCAATGGTGCTATTGTTTAAGTTGGGAGCTGACCTAGCTAATTTCTTTTTTCAAGAAACACTATTTTACCTGAAAGAAAAACTGACAGAAACTATGGTTCATCAGACTTGGGTATTTGGCAATCTTTTGAAAATGAACTAAGTGTGCCCATCACCTCAAGGAAAACAAACTGACAGCATTTGTTTGGCAATGATAAAATTCAAGCTTTCAAGCAAAAATTAGAATTTTGAAAACTATATCCACTACAGTAAGCTTCATCGCTTTCCACTACTTAAACACTTTTCTGTGAGATATGTGGAGATATTAATATGATTTTTTATCCTGTACAATGAACCATGTGTCAAATGTATAACTCAGTGAACCAATATTTTCCACGTCACCCACGTATGTTACAAAATTACACAGGGGTTAGACAGTCATTCAAAATGCAAGATATACCAGTGAACTTTAACATCACAAAAAGTCCATTGATATGGTTTCAGATTACACTTTGCAGCTAACCTCTCAGAAACTACCACGTGTTGAGTTTTAGCATAGTACCAAATTACCTGAAAAAGCTATTAAAACACTCTTCCTTTTCCAATTATCTATCTGTGGAAGATTAGATTTTCTCCTGCCAAAACTACATATCACAACAGATTAAATTTAGAAATAGATATGAGAATCCAGCTGTCTTGTATTAAGCCAGACATTAACAAGAATTGCAGAAGAGTAAAACAATACCAGTCTTCTAAATATTTTTTTGTTCTGGAAAAGAGTTATTTTTAACAAATATATATTAACATACAATCATTTTTTTAATTAATAAATCAACATTTTAAAAATCCCAGCTTTAATTTCTAATATGGTAAATAGATACTAACAACCCACATAAAAGGAAGCACTTTGAGGTTCTCAATTTTTAAGTGTAAAGAGGTCCTGAGACCAAAAAAAAAAAAAGTTGACAACTGAAGATATGGCAAATGACTAAACAAATGGATAATAGAGTCAAAGAAAATACAACAGGGCAAACAAATTTTAACAGTGGAGAAGACAAAGGCAAAGGACTTATTCCACTGTAGATTTAATTTGAACTTGTTATCAAGAGATAAAAAGGTTGTAGTGTACGTTTAGGCTATCTTAATCAGGCTTTTAGAAGCATACAACAAGATGATATAATTAAAAAGTACTTCAATTTTATGAGGCTGTTTACTTCAAGAATCTTATTGCAGGGTACCTAGAAATGAAGAGGGATAGGAAAAAGGCCTATAATGCAGTTTTACAGGATACATGTGCTTCCTCTTCACTTCATCATGAATGATGTAGAAAAGAATAAGAAGAAAAACTGTCTTGTTTAAATGTAATTATTTCTATTATTCTAACCTCTAAGACAGAATTAGAAAGAAAGAAGTGCTGAGTGAAAGTCAGCTAGATATATTAGTTGCAAGACTATTTTGTGATTTAAATCACTGGTAATATTACCATCTTGAGGCAAAATCAAGTATTACAATAGTGTTCCAGCTAGTCTTTTCTTAAGAACCATGCTTTTCATAAAAGACAATCAAATATTTTACTACTCCACATTCACCACCCTCCAAGCCACTCCTAAGGAAAAAATCTTTAAAGTTCTTTAATGAAGAAAAAATTTAAAAGAATGTTGTTTAAATAGAGAAATAAAAGGGATGCCATAATAAAACAGTAAAGTTAAAAATGAAAGCATAGCCAAAAACTGAACAATTGATGTAATTCAATGTGTCAACTTAATAATTAAAACAGCCATGGCTAACTCTTAAAGAGCAACGTTACACATTTTAAGCACAGCATTATATAAGTTGTGTTTGGTAACTCAACACTCATTGTTATTTTCATTTTTATACATTATAATTGCTGTCACACTTAAATTCTCTCATTTTGTAACAGACGAGGTAGTAGCCTCCTTACTATCGATATTTTCCCCTCACCTTGACCCACAAGATTTTCATGTGAATTTCCCCAAGTATGCCATGAACAATCTAGTTTTTACTGACAATCTAATCCAAAATCTACCCTTACCTCTTGCAGACATTCATCTATTGAATTTCGGCTAAATCCAATAAAACCTACTTGTGTGTGTCTGTCTGTATCTGCACACGTCTGTATCTGGGTGTGTCCCCTGAGTCTGGATATGTCTGTTGGTGTGTGCCTCTGTGTCTGTCAGTGCATCCCTATGTGCCTGCGTCTCTGTACATCAACATGTATATACACACACACATCAGGATAGCATAAGGATTATAAGAATCAGAGGAGAAAAAAAGAAATAAAGGCTAGAAAGATATAATAGTATTGTTTTATCTTTTAGCAGTTAGTCTTTTCCAGTTTAAATTGATAGACATAATATGGACAAATATTTCCCTTAAAAGCAGAGGTCTAGATTTAAGTCCAAGATTAAAGACAATACGCATATGGTCCATTTCTAGCCATCATTTTATATCCAAAACTGTGAAGTAGCCTGAATAACCTCCATATTCCTGTTTATACTCCATTTTGCTTCCATTTCAATTACAGATTTACAATACATACAGATAGCAAGAGAAAGAGAAAGAATGCACAAGCTTGCAAGCACCCATCTTTCCCTCTGCTTCTTCACCAAGTGGCTGGATTACTCCCTTACTAGAGCCAATCAAACCCTCTGAGATAAACAAAGGGTATTTCCAATAGCCCACAAACTATATAATTTGTTCCTATGAAGTAAGGCTTTGTCACCTTTGTGGACTATAATAGTTTTAAAAATAGTTTAAATAACCTAATTTTTTTGTCAATAATTACATGGCAGTGATGACTTATCCTGTGTTCTTTTAATAGCAATGATTGTGAAGTCCAAGCCCTCTCCCCTTAAGAACATTACCCTAATTCCAAACCGCCACCAAATGAGAATTTGTTCTGCATATAGTACTAATTTATTAACTATATCCAACCTGTTGATGACTGCAATGTTTGGTGCAAGCTGTGTGGCAACTGAAGGGTGAACAAAGGCAAATGGACACCATTTCTGAAGAAGTCTTCTGTTGCTTTAGACTGCAAAACCTTTGTTTCCCAGAGCTGCAGAGAAAAACAAAATGTTTGCTCTAAAAAAAAAAAATTAGGATATTTACTCCTATGTTTTTTACTTTTAAATTGTCAGCTGAAGGCACAATAAATGGGTAAGTATTAAACTATAATTAAGGGGCTTGAATTTAATTTATCCATTTTTTTTAAGCTGAAAAAACGAGAAACTTCTACTGTCTACAAACCTGCTTCAGGTCTTTTAAGACTTGTTCCTCTATACCTTCTTCAGCAAATAGATCCCGCACTCCTTCAATTACATCTTCAATTACAGATCTGTAGAGTTTAGACTACATAAAAGCAATTGTTAAAGTTTTACATTCTCAAGTTTGAGTGTATCCAGCCTTAAAAAACATGCAGTATACACTTTCTAATCTTATATTTGAAGAAAAGCCACTATAAGGATTTTCACTCTGTGCATCCTATTCCCAATACAGTCTTAGCTTTCCATAAATTGGTTAACTTCAGACCCATAGTCTCAGCTTATCTATAGGGCTGAATCACAATACTACAAGAAAATATGAGATAATAATCTCATCAAGATGTATGGTTACTTTTAGGATCCTTGGCTTTTGTGTCAGTATTTAACCTCCACACTCCTTTTTAAAAAGGAAATTAATTTAAGACAGGTGGAAATGAACCTTTTGTTTTCAATTTACCTTTTTCTCAGAGGGACCCAGAGAGCTTTTTTAGAGTTTACTATATTACTTCCATAAATGTAAATAAATTCCAAGCCATAAATTTGGGGCAAGCATCTACAACAGAGTCACCAAAGTCTGTCCCGCTTCCAACATACAAAGTCCAAAAAGATATTCTGAACCACGGTCAAGTAAAAGTACAACTGCACCAAAAAGGATTTCCTAAGAGAAACTAAGGAGGACATAAACCTTACCCTTCCACAATCTGCATACTGCAGAGACTAAGTAACATCCTAAAAGCAGATCTTTACCAGATTAAAAACTGGTCAATATCAATAGAAAAACAACCCTGTGAAATAAACTCAGTCCTTCAAATCTATGTAAACTGTGCTCCACTCCCACCCTAGTCCAAAATGGCAACGCTAGGAAATTCCCTGGCAGTCCAGTGGTTAGGACTCGGCGCTTTCACTGCCTGGGTTCAATCCCTGGTGTGGGGACTAAGATCCCACAAGCCATGCGGCACCACCAAAAAAGATCAAATAAAAATAAATAAAATTAAAAATTAAAAAATGCAAAAAAAGAATGGCAATGCTAAGTGTACTGACAATACTGACCTAGTGGAAGTTTTACTGATAAGAAATAACAAAATAGGAATTTAGTTGAATTGCTCTTATTTCAAATTGCTTAATCAGGCCAAATTGAAAATTCTGTCATTCTAGGACTGCTTTTTCATACTACTCAGTAAATATTCTAAGTACTCCTATTCATGTGAAGAGTAGTTAGGTATTAAACTTATTCCTTCTAAAGACCCAGAGTGAGCCTATGAAAAAGCCAATCAGTAATATTTAAATAATACGTTATTCACAAGCATAGTCAATAAGATTAAGTGCCCTAGATTAGTTCCTTCTTCTAAAACAGTCTACCCTGATAAAGCTGTGCTTAACTGATGTGTCAGTGTTAGGCCCAGCTAGTGTGATCACACTTAAAGCTAGAGGTAAAAACTCCTAGGGATAAAAACATCTTTTAAGATCTACCCTCAGAATGTAACAGCAGCCATCAAAAATAACCCATTAGAACATAATTTTTCAAAAGCAAAGTAGGAATTGAACATACTTTCTCTTCTAGGACTACAGCTAGACTTTATATTCTTTCCCTGTTATCTTCATTAGTATATGTATAGTCCACTATGCATAGCCCAGGAAATCCATCTTAACCTCTTCCCTATGTAAAAGAAAACACACACACATTCCTTGGAGTTTCACCATCAAATAAAATGGTATACACGGTAAGCTTACATTCAAGCATAATTATTTCACATATATTAAAATACATTATCAGAAAAAGGATACACATTAAAAGAATAACTTGTCTTCAGAAATGAACCATTTTATCCTTCTTATATATAGATGGAACCCATAAAACAACACAGATCTGGACAAGCACATTGCCTTTCACCAAATGTGAAGTCTGTTGAAATGAACTGAAAATAAACGTGATTTCTTGACTTTCTTTCTTTAAATCAATTTTTAGGATTGATAGAGGGTCTCACAAGACCATTTAGCCTGTCAGTTCTCACGCGAGGTTTACGTACTCCTGAACGGTAACAAAGCAACGTCTGGGTTTATCAATTCCAACTGTACACTTAAACATTAAGATGCTTAAGGATAGGGAAATGGAGGGGTGCGGGAGAACTCTAAAAACCTGTTATTTCGGGTAAATAATATAGCTTAGACTCAACAGTGGTCATACTAAAATTAAACTACAATTAGAGTACAACTAACTCAGTAATTCTAAACACACTAAACTGGGAGGCTTAAGGTGCGTTCCATCTCTAACCACCTTCTCAAATCCTCACTCTAGAGGACCTCAGCTCCATGAGGAGTAAGAAGGAGAAGAGGGGCACTTGCTCTTCTGGCGGGGGGCCAGGTCCAACTTCCGGCTGAGCTACGGGCCCTCATCCACTTCCTCTAACACGGAGAACAGAGGAGCCCCTAAGGAAGAGGGCTCCTGAAAGTCTGTAAAGAGCCAGGAGGGAAAAAAAAAAAAAGGGTGTGCGGAGCTCCACTGCCATGAGCCCAGGACCGCGCTCCCTCTGCACGGAGCACAGGCCGAGAGGCCAGGCTGGTGGTCCTTACCACCGGGTTGACGGACTCCATGACCGCTTCTCCAGCGCCTTGCCGCTTGCGCCTGCGCAGCACGCGATGCGCCTCCGAGGACCGTTCTTTGCGTGCTTTGAACGTACGTGCACGTTGTCCACGCAACGACGTCAGGACGCTGGGGGCGGGGCAGGGGAGGAGAGAAAGGTTAATGATGAGGGCTAAGTGGAGTCGCGCTGCAGAGGCAGTTAAGAGGTTGACCTGAAAGTGCAAAGAGACCAGATAAAACGGGGTCGTTAACTCTGGTGTAACCAACTTTGGGCCGTTCACATGACCCTTGAAGAGCCTTTATTTTCTCAATCTATAAAATAAGGGCTAAGAAAATAGGGGATGAGCAATGCAGCGGTAGATCCCAGTTCACTTTACCTTTGAGAAGAGGGGAGCTAGTGGTAGCTGTCCTCTCCTTCTGCCAATTTTCATTCCTCCCCTTACCCCCCAGTCACAGCTGAACTCCAGTATATAATAAAAGTCAAACTCTTCTAAGATTGGTTCTCAAAGTGTACAACAGCAACATCAGCTTCATCTGGAAACCTGTTAAAAATGCAAATTATTGGGTCCCTCCCCAGACCTACTGAATCAGAAACTCCGAGGCTGGGACCTAGCCTTCTGTAACTTTAACATGCTCTCCAGGTGATTCTGATGGGCACTTCAATGAGACTCTTTGTCCCAAAGCAAAGATTTTCAGCTTTGGCTACACACTGAAATCACCTGGGGAGCTTAATAAAGGTTTGGCACCTGAGTCTCACCCCAGAGAATCTGATTCTATTATGCAGCCAAGTTGGAGAACCACTGCTAAAATAAAGTCAGCACCCCAATACCACCCAGGCTCCTTTTCCTCCTCAGGCAGAAATAACACTCTTGACCTGTAATAATTCCCTCCTTCCCCTGAAGGGTAGAGCATCTAGGGGCATACCTTGCCTAGGGCTGAGGGTAGATGTAAGCACAGATAACCTGGAGGGTTAGATAAGGGAACAAGTCATTTATTGCCACTACTCTGCCTTTTAAAACAGCCTTTCTAGCCTGCAGATAGATCCTGACCTAACCAGATGGCTAAGTTACTGAATGATTAAAAATCCTATCAGGTTTAAAATTGGCTGTTTATTTATTTATTTGTGCATGTAAGTTCAGTAAAGCTATTTATATCCAACCATTCTGTATTTGCTTTGCCTGGGCCAGGTACCTTATAGTTTGTGAGTTTCAAGAAGCTAATTTATATGAAGCCCTTTAGAAGACTTTCCTAAATTGAAAACTATCTGAAATTTCTTTTACAAAAAGCCGAGAATGTTACATAGTACTTTTTAATGATTGTATCTCTACCTGGCAATTTACTACCAGAAGTATTCAAAGTGACTTAACTTACACCCAAAACAGAAAGCTAAAAGCAGTCATTGATTCCTACTGATATCATAAAAATTCAATTATTCAGCTTATTGCCAAAAACTCTCATCTTTCATCTTTTTCACAGCCAAGTTTTAAAACTTTATTCCTAGATGCATAGGATTAGTAATCACCTAACTTTTTGGGACAGCATACTGTTTTATATTACTTCATTATACATTTTATCCTTCTCAGGGCTATACTATAGATCATACATACTTTTGAAATTAAATTTGGACCTTGGTACCCATAAAAAGTGTGACTGAGTTGAACTGTTGTTTCTTAGTATACTTAGTAGGCTCAGGTTGCCAAGAGGTTATGTAACTGGCAGAGAAATGTCAGTAACTTTCCATTTGCCCCTGGTGGTCTGTCTGCATGGTCACTAGTAGACTAAGATATAGTTTCTTCCCAGTAATAGACAATGGCTTTTAGAGGAGGTATACTTTAACCTACATTCCAGGTGAATCCAAGTTGCAAATCTGCTCTGGACCTGAGATAGCCAGCTTCCAAGATGGCCCCCAAAGATCCTTACCTCCTAGTATTCGCAACCTTGTGTTCTCCCCTCCCACACTGTAGCACGGTTTGTCTGGGTGACCAACAGAAAAGCAGAAGTAATGATGTATCACTTCTAAGATTAGGTTATAAATGACTGTGGCTTCCTTCCTGGGGATTCCTTCAGATCACTCACTTGGGAGAAGACAGCTGTCATGTTGTGAGGACAGTCAAGCACTCCGCCTATGGAGAGGCCCGGGTGGCAAGGAACGAAGACTCCAGCCCATAGCCAACAGGGATCCCTGTTGGAAATTGATGCCTCCCCATTTGGGCTGTCAGGTGATTGCAGCCCTGACTTGTCTGCATCCCTTTGAGAGACTCTGAACCGGAAACTGTGTGAGATAATAAATATTTGTCATTTTAAGCAGTTAAGTTTGGGGATAATTTGTTACACAAAATGGGATAACTAATACAGGACCCATTCTCTGATTGGACTGTGCCTAGTGAAGGCTTGGTTTTTCCTCATTGTAATCTCAGCATTTAAGCTTTCTTGAGTACCCTCATCAGTCACAAGAGCATTTGAAAAGTATGTAAAGGAATCTTTATAGGCTGATATTTGATAGTGTTGACCCCAGGTTATCATCAAACAAGCAGACTGTTGTAGTCATGTAATGATCACATTTCTTTTGTCAATTTTTCAGACTCAGAGGGGAAGTGTGTTGCATACACAAAAGACTTTTGATGCTAAAATTGAAATTTCAAGATCCCAAAGCCTCAGTGAGGCAATTTTACAGTAACGTTTTTTTTTTACGTTAGTAATTAGAGAATAAAAAAGGAATGCTGAGCTTTGGTCTGTCTTTGAGTACACAGTTTTTGAAATTACACCTGTGGCAAAATATAAAGCTCTTCCCCAGTTGCCCATCACAGTTCAGAGCATCAGATTTTCATTTTCTCCTGTTTTGTTTAGAGGCTATAATAGCTATTTAACATATCATTTGTAATCAACACTAGTTTTGTAACATTTAAGCAAATCTTAATAATCAGATTAATTTCTCTGCATTCTGTAAGTTCATATTACTTTTGCCTAGAGGTTTCAGTGATATTATAAAAGTAAAGAAAAAATCTTCTCTTTGTTTATTGTGAGAAAAGGCCATATCTATGAAGTCCTTTCTCTGAATAAGAATGTTTTTAAAAATGTATTTTAGAGACAGCCCATTATCTTTTACGTATTAAATTTTACAGTCAAATGCAGAGCATTTCAGTAACTCTAGACTCTAAATAATATATTTATCAGTAATGAAAAATACAAGCTAGGCTATGAGCATATGCCTTAAGGCAGCAAATATTCACAATTAGTTTCTGAACATTTTTCACCCAATGCACTAAACCCAGCAGTACTGTGTTTCTCTGCCTCTGTTTCATCCTTCACATCATTCAGGAAATGAAAATCCACATAATCTCTACCTCACCTTGTAACTTTGAAATGGCTGCAATGTTAGTAGTTCTGATTTGTTTATACTCTGCACTTTTATAACATTTTCCATTTTCTAATACAACTCTAAAATCAACTTACATTATTTGAACATCAGATATAATTCCACCACGATGAATCCCTCCCCCCTCCCCCAATAGGATTTCAGTTAAAATGACCATGTGACACAGTGCGATGGCCAACTGGTGACCTTATCACACAGTGGAACACTGTTAATGTTCACATTACTACCTATTTTTAAATGTTTTAATATTAAAGAGATGTATACATTGTGTGCATATGAAAATGAGTGACTATAATTAACTCAAGGAAAGTGTGAAGGATGACTTCAAACACAGTTTTCCCTATGGCTACTTTTCAACATTCTCATCGGGGCCTTGATAAGAATTCAGTAATTTCCAAGCTAACAAATTATTCCATTTTCATTTCTTTAATCACAATGTGTATAATCAAATGTGAACATGAAATATTAGCAAGAATAATGTCTGTTGTCTCCAGTGAATTTTCCAACCTAAATTTCTACTTAGAGAAGATGGAGGTAAAGACCAATAAATTTAACTTAAGGCTATGACCTGGAAAGAACCAACCAGCTTTGTTCCCACAGTAAGTGTACTTATCTTCTTTCCTAATTGGTCTCATTTTGTAAGATGTAAAGGTAGCATCTTGAATATTCTATATTATTCTAGATGCTTCAAATATCAGGAGAGGCAGGGACAACATAGAGTAGACACGCTCCTTCCTATTCCTTTTGCTAAGCACAGCTAAAAAAATCTCTGGATATTATACATAAAACAAAGATAAGAAGACTCTGAAGGGTGGAGAGAAGAGCATAGACAGTTAGGGAACTCACAACCCAAAGAAAGACACAGCAGTAAATCCCCTTGTTTTCTTTTTGCCTCACCTATACCAGCCTGGGTACTGGTGAAGCTTGCAAACCCGGAAACATCAAAGGTCACAGACCAAAAAGAACAAAAGCCTTTTTTCTCAAGCTAAGGACCAGAAAAGGGGCAGCAAGACAGAAATCTTTTAGACAATATCTGCTCTACTTCAAACGCCGCAGAAAAAAAGCAGCCCCACCCCAGAGCCGTCAGCAAAGGCAGAGTAGGGAGTTTAAACTTCCATGCTTGCCCAGCTGTAACGCGGTGCAGCCATCCCCACAATGTCACTGGAGGCCACCTGGGATGCCTGGACTCGTCCCCCCAGCCCAGCTATGATGAGGCATCCCCACCAGCCACTAGGGTTGTGTCAGAGAAGACCAAGACCTTCATTCCTGCTGGGTGATATTGAGACCTCCCCCTGCAGTGTCCATGGGGGCCATGTGAGAAGGAGTTACAAGGTCCCCTTCCCTGCGTCAACCAGCGCGATGTCAGTGGAAGCCGGGTGGGGGGCCTGAACCCCTACCCTACCCAACTGTCACGAGGAGGCCCTCCTCCCCTGCACTGTCAACAGAGGCTGAGCCAGAAATAAGGCCTGGAAACCTTGGCAGTAGCAAGTGGGTACTTTCACTTTCCCCTACTGGCCCTGTGTCAGAGGAGACCTACTAAAATAGAAGATTTAAACAAGATCCAGAGTCTCCTAATAACCAGAATGTCCAGGATGCAATTGAAAATCATTTGTTATACCAAGAACCAGGAAAATCTCTACTTGAATGAGAAAAGACAATTGACACCAACACAGAGATGACTAAGAGGTTGGAATTATCTGACAAGAATCTAGCCTTCATAAAACTGCTTTAATGAGCAATTAAGCAAGCAATT